CCGGTATCATAGTCGGAATTTTGTCTCTGGTGAGTTCGTAGCTTGGTGCGGCGAATGGCAAAACTCACTGATGATGCCGACTATGAAGCCAGCGAAACGTTTGAGAATGTATCAAGTCCACTGTCTGATGCTGGGAACCATGACAGCTACTACGGCAGACGACTTCGGACTAGGTGCTTTCTACTAAGTCTCCCTGACAACAAGACCAAGTTGCGACAACGAGGTCAACCCATTTCTAAGTAAATAAGTCTCATGTGTTCGTCGGGGCGCAACATAGATTAGGGTTTACACAAAATTCATTTTCCCCATTTGCAACAGGGATTATGTCATACCTAGAACAATGTTTGTTTTAACCAGTTAAGGAATTTTACGAAACTTGGTACTTTTCAATAAGAAATTCTTACGACTTGTTAAGTTAGTATATGAACAATTGATAGAATATGATGTTGATCAGTGCTTTGTCTAAATTAGATGATGCTTAGGTAAGAGGTAAGGTGGACTTTAGACTGAATTTGTTCAACACATGGCTAATATTGAACAGAATGGGATGACATAACACGAGGTTCAATAGGATACAGAGATAAGTCTTAATGAATCTCTCTAGATAAAAAGGATTTGATGACTCAATTAGCTCTAGAACCGTATGGTTTGAACATGATGTTCAGCTTGATGCCGTCCATAGGACTTTGTCTTCCGCTAAGCCTATAGAACTAGACAAAATAGCCAATATGCTGAATAAAAGGAATGTGGATGAGGCTATTTGTATACGCTGGACAAGATTAATGAGAGACTGAGGAAGAGGAACCACAAATCAAAGAGGGAGGACGTCATTAACCTCGGATCTGCTTAAAGGACCCTAAATGCAATACATGCATGGGCATTGTACGCCTACTCCTCACATGCATGCGAACACGAGAAAGCGTTGCAAGATCAAAAAGCATGCAATTTTGGCGCGAAAATAGCTAGTCAGTCATAGTCACTGTTCATACCTCATTCAGAGCCACTTCAATTTGATGTAAGCATGTAATAAAAGCATAATGAAGTGGCCAATCAAATCATAGAATGCCTCATTAAATGGGCAATGCGCGGTGGTGTTGATTTGATCTCGTTTTAGCAACTTGGACGGAGCGAATAGGATACCTTGCGCAATTAACCTAGTCCCACATTGCGTCCTCTGCCAGAGTATTCATAATGATTTCCAGTTTCGGGCCGTTTTAATTGGTGCATTCCAAAACGTCATAGTCGCTATCACCAGTACAGAGCTACATTTTATCAGAGTCATATGAATGCAATCCCCTTGACCGATTTTCTGTTCAGCCCTTGTGGTATCACTCCTCGTCCCCATTTTTTGTTTCAGTTTCTAGGGAC